CATGATGCGTCTGCGTCTTGTGTTGAACAAAGCTGCTAGAGTAAGGTCTGTGGGGTCTGGAGTGAAGTGTATTTGGGGTGCAGAGTTCAAAAGAAGTGTTGCAACAAGAGTTTGTTGGAAACTGATCTGCAGAATGAAGATTGGTTGGATGTGGATTGGGAATAAGGAGTATTAAGTTGTTAATTATTTTACTTATACAAAGTTATTGTCGTTAAATAAAATGGTACATTTAGCCAACTGCATCTTTAGGGCCAAGATCATTTCCAGCCTGTTACTACAGGTTTGCAGAACTGTAACAGAAAGTACAAGGTAGACATTGGTGTTTCCTAGGAAGGCTTAAAATCTAATTTTGGGAAGTAGACTGCCTGTTAAGCTAATCATGTGTCTGATTATGAACGATGAGTGTTAAGAAATGGTCTGAGACAAAACCTAGTGTTGTTACTGGTGATGAAAGTAATATTAAAGATAATGGATAGGACGGGTGGGCTTCAGCCTTCAGCTGTGAAATTACTCTGGGTACCCAAATGCAGTTAGAGTGGGGTTTTTTTTCTAAAATGGGAGTTGGGCATATTGTATGTCATCAACATTAATAGATGCTGTGATTCCCAGACAGACATGGGAATGACAAAACTGGTTGTCATTCTCCAGGAAAACTTAGTAAGTTATGTTGTCATTGGGAGGGCTTTTGATCTGCTTGCTGCAATTCTCAAATCCACAAGTTAGGTGACCCCTATCTTGTCTCTCACTGGACCTTCTGGAAACCAACACCCTACTGTAAGATGTTGGAAACCCATAAGAACATACAGAACAGGACTGAGATGGCCCGGCCTCTTTTATTCATGTCTGGTGTACTGACTGTTTGGAAGAACTGCTTTTTGAACCGCCCTTCTTCAGCTTGCTGATTTTGTCCATGTCTGGTGTCCCTGCAGTACATTACAACCCACAAATCTCAATGTGACTTTAACCAAAAAAAAAACCCCTCAAACCCAGGGTTAACTTCAAAAGGAAAAAAAAAATGGGGTAAGAGAAGTATTTAGCTTTCAGACCTTCTAGTGTCTTAAGTCTTTGTAATATATTTAAATCATGTTTTAAAATGCATTTTGCATCACTTGGATGCAAAATATTTTGATTTGTGATGCCTTTTCTCATTAAAACCATAAATCTTGCTTAAGCCCTTCAGTCTGTATGAACTCCAAATGTCTTAAGGACTACAGTAAAATCTGGAGAGCTGTCTCCCAGCCAGCCAGCCTGTGAAGAGCTCTCAGGTTTAGTTTCCCCGTTGCTATTCTGGGATGACAGCTCGGACAGAAGAAGGTGGAAGGGAGTGCATCACCCTCTTGCCATAAACGCAGATCCCAGTGTCTCGGTCTCAGCAAGATCTCTCAGATGCTGGAAAAAAAAATCGGAACAAGTACCCACAAAGCAGCAAGTGTCAGCAGCAACCGTGACCCATAAACATCACATTTGTGTCACTGGCCTCAAGGTGAGACCTCAGCACCATGACTGCAGACACTAATGCACATGGCAGTTCATTCTCCCAGTTCAGCAGACTGATCAAACTGGGACTGCTGGGACTACTTTCCTCTTTGAAGGCAATAAAATAAAATAAATGTGCAAGCCTGGGTTGGTTTCCATTTGTGCAAGTACCACCTTTTTTGGGAACAGCAAGGGTGTGAAACCAGCCTCTACAGAGCCTACTGTCAGCAGTGGGTGTCGCAGCCCACAGCCAGTCAATAGTCATCAGGAGCCAAAAAAGCAGAGAAACGCGGCCAACTTGAGCAAAAGATGCAGCAGCAAAGAAGAGTGCAGAAATCTGGCATTTCTCTCATTGTGGTCTGCTTTTATTCTTGCTGTATTAAAACTGTCATGGCTTTATGCTAACAGGGTTCATTCCTAGCCAGTGATTATTATGCTTTGAATTAGCGGTGCTCTTCTGAGTATTTTTAGAGGAAAAAAATGAGCTATTTCTTCTGAGAAATAGAAGCGAGAAGGAAAAAGAGCTGTTACTTGTATTAGCTTGGAGCCATGTGTGTTTGGAGAGGATGGAGGAAAAGGGCAACGTCCATGGCTGATGGAGAGCACGGCAGGGCTCCCGGGGCACGGATCTGTGTGACAGACGCTACTGAAATGCAGGGAAGAGCAGTCAAAATATGGAAATGGTTTTGACGCTGCGTTTGGCTTTTAATGAATGTGCCCTTCGGGTAAATTCCTTTTGACTCCAGTGTTAGTTTTGCCTGACTGTGAATCCATACTGGTGTACCCTGAATGGGAGAAGCTTCCCAGGAGCGATGAGAGCACAGCTGGTGTGGGACAGAGGGGAGATGTCTTGAGAAAGGAGAGGATTTTTAAGGGATGTCAGTTCTCCGGGCCATGGACACAGCAGTACCGGTTAGGACCAGCTCTCAAAGAGGAGTTGTTGCAACTCTGAGATGTAGTAACTAAGGTACCTGGGTAGCAGAAATGGTGGCTCAGTGATGGGGAAAAGGAGGGAGGGGGAGCAGCAAGAGGAATTTCATTATGTTTCAGCTGTGGGTGTATGCGGCAGGCAGCCTAATTCAGCAGCAGCAGCGTCTCATTCCCAGTTTGCTCAGTGGGCTGCTTCTATACCCTGTATCTCCCGAGTAAGCCAGCAAACACAACGTCAGCCTATTGTTTTTAGCAGCATCTCTAAAATAACACAGCAGTGGAACGCAGTGTGCTCTTGCGTGCTTTAACTGGAGGCATCTTAAAAATGGAGGAGGGGAAAGAGGCGTGGACCCTTTGGGTCTGCGTCTAGAGTGAGGTGCTCTGTACCCCGTGCTGGTCTTCAAAGCCTAGCAGGTTCCCGTGAAACCAGAAAATGTAAGGAAATTCCTGATTCCCTCTTCTTTTTACCCTGATGGTTTGTTCAGCATAACGAGGCAATTTCTAGCCTTGATGCAGCATGTCCCAGCCTCTGGGCAGGACAGAGCCTTGGCATGGATTTTCTCTAGAAGAAGGTATTTCTCTAGGCAGTCGGGCACAAAGAGAACAGAATGAAAAGCTTTGACTGGACTACCTTTTCCCCTCTGCTTTAAATGGAAGCATGATGTTCTCTGAAATGTCTGTCTTTCTCTCCATTACCCCGAAGAATAGTTCTTTTTAACCATTTCCACTGAAGCAGTTGGGCTCTCTCTGTATCTTGCTGGCTAGCTTCTTTGTCTCCAGAAAGTTACAGGCAGCTCTATCTGGCTGTGATATTTTACAGGGAAAAAAAAGGATTGTGCTGCCAATGTTAAAAACAAACAAAAGAGCAATAACAAAATAACCAACTTTCTTGCAAAAACCTGAGAGGCTCAAATAGTATTTCAGTTTGGAGTTCTGATAATGGAACTTTCTTTGTGTTAAGAGTTGCATCTCTGGCTATTCCGTAGAAACCCACCTACATCTGGCACACTTAAAGCCTCAGGAAAATTTCCATTGAGACACGTAGGGATTTGCCAGCCAAAATCCCTGGTGATTCTGTCAGTGTGGAGTAGTTGTGCTCATCCCTTGGGAGCGATGTTCTTGCAGAGATTCCCAAGCCTGTGCTCATGCTGGAGGTTAATCCTTAATATGCTCCAGGTGAAACAGGGACACTGGACTGCTGTCTTCAGAGCAGGAGGGGTGATGAGCTGTGTCCTGTCTTTATGCCTCCAGACCACAAACCACTCAAATCAGTTTTATTGTCAGTATCGCATTACAACACAAGCGTCGGAAATTATATCCCTTTAAAAAAAAAAATAAAAAATCAAACACCACCCACAACTTAAAAAAAAACCAAACCAAACGCAGAGCTCTCCTGTATGATGTCTGAATCTGAATTGCGCAGATGCTTTTTTTAGGGGGAGAGAGAGAGCACACACTTCAGCCCAGGGCTGGGAGAGCTTGTTGCAGCCCTGGCAGCTGCGGCGTGGAGAGACCCTCTCTCCTGGGCTGCTGGTACCTTCCCTCTGACAGTGTCCTCCTCTCTGGTCCTGGCTTGCCTCTCCCTGTGCCTCTAATGACAGTGACATTCTTTCTCAAAGCTAGCAGCATATTTTCCCTGCAAATGTGAGGGGTGGGGGACCACGCAATGTAACTGCAAGTGACCGCTGCCAGACTTCTCTTGCTGTCATCTGGGAGGAAGGACAATTTAAATTCTTCAGATTTTTTTTAAGTATTGAGACTATCATGATGTATTACAGTTTAAAGGTTGCAGAAAGCTGAATTTTTTAACAACAGAAGCTAAGTGAAAACCTGTAACACCCTTAGGGAATTCAGCCCTAACTGTGGACTCCGTTAAATTCCTCAACTCTCTATGTTAAAAGATAAATAGAAGAATTGGAGGGGAAATTATATCCCTTTGGTATGCCCGTGGGTGGGCAGAAAAGTGGGACTGGAAGGAACCTTCTGAATTTTTGGCACCCTTTCTGTCATAAGGAGATTCCTAATGCAGCCCCTTTTGTAACCCAGACCATTTTAATGGACACAGTAATGATACCAGAGGGTGTCATTTATCAGGGTCCTTGCTCCTGATAGATATTAGTTCACGGAAATGTCTCTTTCCATTGTAAAAAAGACTTGCAGTATTTCTTTTAAGCAGTATTGCATCATTTTTTGGAGCTTTCTCTTCCCCAATCACTGTCACACTTCCCCAGAATGGCTGGCGGATGGACTGCCAGCTGTCCAGAGCAATGCAGAACAATTTGTTAAAGATTACAACTTTGCCATTGTAATAATCCATATTCCTGTTGAACTTGATCGTTAATACTGATCTTTACATTGGATTATGATCCACTGAAAGGTGAAAAATATTAAAATAATAAAGACTACGCTACGATTTTTCTCCCTTTTTTACTGTTCTTTGTAGGGACAGAAAATTTTGACCATCTGTGTGGTTCTCTGAAAATCTATTAAAGCATTTATTTCACTTCTTCCCCCCCCCCCACCCCCCTTTTTTTTTTTTTTTTTTTTTTTTTTTTTTTTTTTTTCCCTCCTTTTCTTGCCTTTAAGTGGAAAGACTGGCTGCAATGCGTTCAGATTCTCTGGTACCTGGGACCCACACGCCTCCCATCAGAAGAAAAAGCAAATTTGCCACTCTTGGAAGGCTTTTTAAGCCGTGGAAATGGAGGAAGAAGAAGAGTGAAAAATTTAAGCACACTTCAGCAGGTAATAGTCGCGGTCGGGTCGGTTTGTTATAATCTGCAACTATTTGCTCAACAAGGCTAAAAATTCGTAGTGAGGGCCCAATTTATACGTCTTTTAAGGTTGTTGAACCTTGCCTCGGAGAGATTTCTCAGATTCTAAGAGATCTTTGTTAGCAGCTTTTTCTTTAAAAAACAACCCAAAACAACATGTTTGGTGCACTGCAGTTAAAGCGGTAGCTCGCCAAAACTGTCTGTTCAGGTTCGGCCACTACAGCTAGAGGGTAACCCAGGAGAAATCTTGTAACATTGATTTGGCAGATTATGGGTAAAGGAAATGGCAGTATAAAAAGACAACACTAGTGGAGGATTTAGCCACATTCAAACTCCTCTAAGCGCCAATAGAAGAATGAGAAAAATGTATGACAAAGGAGTTGACATTGTGTTGACTGGCTTGCTAACTGTAAATTATTTGTTCCATTGGGCAGGAAAGATGTGTCACTTGTTTTCTGAGAAAAACCAAACTCTCTTCCTGCCCCACCCTCCTTCTGCCATCACTTGCTAACGCTCCTGGTTTAAGACTCTAAAAAGTCTATTAAAAAATAAATGTGGAGAACTGCAAAACCGGGGTTTTATATTGTAAAATGGTCTGAGCAAGAATCCCGGATCCAGGCACTGATGCATGTGGTGGAAGCTTGTACCTGGCGTGTTTGTTTTCAAGCTGTGTTTAGAAGGTTTCTTTCCTTTGTTCTTCCGTGATGACTAATAATTGCTACATGTGGTATTGCAAGTCTTGAGCCTGGATTGTCTGTGAGAAAACATGAATTTTCTTCTGATTTCTTATTGTTCTCACTAGAACTAGAAAGAAAGCAACGAGGATCTTGCACCTTTTAGTGCCAGAAGAGTCTTGAGTTACAGCCCAGTTGCTCCCTGACCTGTTTATTGCACAATGGAAGCTTTCAGGCAGGACTTGGCTGTACCTTCTGGCACCCCAAAGCCTGTACTCCTGAAAATGGTCCATAATTGCACGAGAAGTCTCATTTAGCTAAGTGCGAATTCTTGCATGAGGTTAAATGCAGAATGAGAGTTTTCAGGGTGCACACCTGAAGGTGCTCTTTACTGCGTGCTGTTTAAGCTGCTCTCTGATGTGTCAGGCAGAGACTAATGAACTGGAATAGACAACTGAATTACTCTGAGTGGTGATTGTATTTTTGACTTGACAGCTGAGGAGCTATTGTCACCAGAAATGACATGTTTCTGCAAAACAAAAGGCTTGTCTTTCATGTTCTGTATCAGTCATAACCAAAGTGCAGTGTAGCAGGATTTCCGTGAAAACCATGGAGCTCTTAGGGATAACATGGATGCTGTGGTGACAACTATTTTGAAGCTAGTTCGGGGATGCTGAGTTAGTTGGTTACAACTAGGAGGTTAACCATGGCAATTTGGGATGTATCGTGGATTGCAAAAGCCTGCCTAGTATTTATTTGTATGGTTTATCCAGCTTGGGGAGCTGGGGCTGAGCTGCATAGCGCTGTGGCTAGGCTAATTAGTTTGAAGCTGATTTCAATGCGCCTGCATTGTCTTCTCTGGGCATTACAAGAAGTGTTGCATAGATTTACCCCATTTACCAAAACATTTGGAAAGCACACAGTGATTAAAACCAGAGTAAAAACATATATTTCCTTTTCCCAGAGGAGAAGGAAGCTTTACCAGACATGCCAGCAGATCTCCTCCCCTGGTAAGAGGGACGCAAGAGTCTGAAGAACTAACTTAAAAGCCAGGTCTCCAGGTTGCAGGAATATTTGACGATTGCAGTATTGAGTTTGATCTCAGCTGAATCCAAAACCTTTTTTTTTTAAAAAAAAAATCATTTCTAGTAAGCTAACAGTATCCTGCAGCTGCTCTGCAAAATTGTTATTCTTGTCAGCTCCCCTGCCACTAACTGCAGCAAAATTGACAGGGATGTCAAATTTGCTGAGCACCCTGCAGGAGGCACTGGGAGAGATTTACTTCTGGACTGTACCAGAGCTGGGGACCCCACGGTTTCCAGAATCCCTGAGCCTGGCGAAAGGGAATCCACCAGGATCCTACCAGACCGGCAATTCAGCAGCATTGCTTGAGCCCAGGATGTGTAATACAAAAGATTTTGAACTGGAAAGCTAGTGGTTTTCTGCCAGCATTTCCATGACCTCTCATCTAATACCTCTGATCTCACTGAGAAAATATATTTAATTTTTATAATAAATCAAAGGACAAGCTTATGAGGCAGCACAATGAGAGCCAGCATGAAACTTCCTAATACAGGCTTATTTTCTTCTAATGCACTGATAAATGTGATGCTTTGAAAAAATATATTTCCTATTAGTGTCGTACAGGCATGCAACCAAGCTTTCCCACCTGCATAGAACATCAATAATTATCAAAAAATAAATAACTAATACAAGTATTTTATTAGACTCTTATTTGCTGCAACAATAGATTCAATTGTTTTAAATGTGGAAAGAGGTAAGGATCAAAACACATGACCTTATCTGTTGAAACTTCCTTTGAAATTAATGGGGGTATTTTCTGGGAGAGGACTGGAAGAAAGAGAGTCTCAGGCTGATATTTGAGGTTGAAAGGTTGCTTTTTTCTTGAGATTTCCAAGTGCTAACATTTTGTATCCGTATCTTTATCAGACTAAAAGCTCTGATTATTCAGAGATGAATGCATTAATTCAGTGGTCAGTTGGCAAAAAACCCTTTTTGGCAGTGGGAAAAGTTATTTTCTGACACCTGATAATTGCATAAAATGAGACAGAAAATCCGTAATCTGATTGATGGAGGATCTTCATATTATACTTACTACATATGGTTTCTTTCAGCACATCAATACTCACATCATGATGTTTGAGCATAACAAATCCCCCATCCTCTGTCTTCATTATTGTGTCATCACTGACAACCAGAAGGTTAGAACGATGCCGGTGTTTCATAGACTTTATGTATTTGTAGGTCACGTTGGCTCTGATATCCCTGTAGCGACTACGCAGGAAGGTTCAAAGGCTGCCTTGGCGCTGGTTTAATCATGAAGGTGCAAGTCGCGGGTTTTGATGCAGACATCTAATGCCTTTGCCTTGTGGTTGGTCTGTCTGTGAGCATCACGATCAGGTATTTAGTAGAGTGACCAGAACAGGTAGAAAAGATCATGCGACGGGGTGGTCTGTTGTTGCAGACGGTAAACGCCAGCTGAGCCCACATCAGGAGTTTGCTTTGAGCAACCTCTTCTGCTGGAAGGTGGAGTGCTGAGGAGGTTGCTCAGGACACGAGTGGCAGGTGGGCTCCATCTGTAGACAGGCTCGCTCTCAGAGCAAAGGGAAGGGAGATTGTACTGAGTGAGGGGCACCACTGTGCCACAGGGGGATGAGAAACAAGTTAATTCTCACAGTAATTCTCCTCCTGGACAGAAGTGAAGCTCCTCCAGCACAGCGCATTTTTCGGTGTCGAGACTGCAAATCGTTTCACCACAGAAGGTCCTAATGAGAGTTCTTGGATGGATGCTGAAACTCCCACAGTACAATATGAATGCTCCTGACAGTGAAGTTATATATACAGGGAGTTAGACAAAGAAATTAAATTCAGCCACAATGTTATCTGTGCTGTAGTCAAAAGTGTGGTGTAGTTTTTTTTTTTTTAACTCGCCTAAAATTTCATCTTGCAGAGAAAGCGTGGAAACCTTGATTACCACGGAGGGCCAAAGGCCCCTCACGGCAATGAACAGTATGTTAAAGCTGACAGCTCCACCTTTGGGAGCACAGGCAAACTTCTAAATGGCAGGGTTATATCAGTTAGTGGGATGGTTTCTTTTAATTGATAAGGAGCAGTCTGACCTATGGCAGAAGATGCCAGGAAGAAACAGTGGATTTTCTTTGCCCAAGCACATTTCCTTGGCTGGATGCAGCTGGGATGTCTCCAGGAGGCTGCACAGGTTTTTAAAGCCACTCCGGGCTCTCTGAGAATCAGCAAAGCAGAGAGCAAAAGAGAAAGCTGACTATCTCCTCAGCCAGACCTCTGTCATTGTTTTTAATACTTTGATCTTGTTCTGCTTGCCTTGATGTGAATTTGAAAACAGTTCCTGGGTGTGCTGTTGTTTTATTGCAGTGTTGTGCGCGTGCTGGTGAGATGTCATTTCCTGGCGATGTTTTGGAGAAGGAGGTGCTTCTGAAATAAAGAAGCCTGAGGGAGGATAGGTTCTGGGCTTACTTGAAATATTATTGAAGTTTTTTTATCGCTGTATTCATCAAGAGCCAACTGCCTGCAATCTTTCAGATAAAAAGTATTTCAGCTGCTTGCAGGAGGCTGAATAGGGGGAAGATGTCTTGTTTTGCCATTTGACATTTCTGCTCACCTTCATTTTAAAGAGTTGGTGTGTCTGTCTTCCCCCATCCTTGCTCCCTGAGTTGCGGTGCTCAGGCAGAGTGGAGGGGAGGGATCATCTAACTTGTACTTGGAGGAAACTGGTTGGACTGAGAAGAGGAAAGCAGGAGATGGTGAGAAGTTAAGGGGTGTGGAGAAAACTCAGTTGTAAGTAGGGAAGGCAAGGAGTTCAGCAATGTTTGGGTTAGGTACGTAGACACCCTGTGCAATGAGCAGAGAAAGTCCAGTGTCACAAGAAAGCTCCAGAGCAGCTCTATGACAATAGAGCTCTATGACAATGACACCCCTCTAAGTAGAAGCTTGTCTGAGACAGTCAGTCATACTAAAGAAAGAAAAGGAAATCTGTTAAACTCGGGCTTTCCATTCCTCCTAGGTACTTTGAAACCTCCCTTCATTCGTTTACCAGGTCTCTCTCCTAGAAATACTTACAACTCCTTCCACAGGACAGTGGGGATGGATGTGTCCTCTAGTGCCGCAGCTCCCATCCCCAAAACCCACGGTTGAGCTAGCAAGCCATGTCCTGTTCTGTGGCCTAAGGAAGATGTGACAGTGACTTCCTAGCCTCATGCTTTGGGGTGCCCTTCTGAGAAAAGGCAAGTCTCACTCCTAC